TTTTTTTTACCACATAAATACCAATCAATCAATCAATCAATCAAACAATCATTCTTTTTTGCACATGGGTAAAAAAAAAAAAAACTAGGAAAAACATTATATGCAATATGCAGTTCATTTTTTTTTTTTTGTTTTTAAATAAAATTAATTAAATCAAGAGAGAAAAAAAGAAAATTGAGATAAAACTGCATTTTTTCCAACAAAAAAAAAAAAGAAAATTCCATAAATCACATTTTTCACATCACACACACACACACACAACAAAAAAAAAAATAACAAAATTATAAAAAATTAATTAATTAATTAATCATTATTATTATTTTATAATATATAATAATTTTAACAATTAAACTTTTTTAATCACGATGTAATTAACATAACGATAATTTTTATCTTACAACAGCAATAAAATTAATTTTTTTTTTTTTTTTTTTTTTAAATAATACTCATTTTAAACCCCTTTTTGCCTATATTTTCCTTTATACTACTCATAAAAAAATAATTTTTAATTACTACTAACGCTTTCAAACTCTCTTATTTTTCCTTTTCCTTTTCCGACCACACTTTTCTTTTAATTAAAATAAAAAAAATTACATTTCGTCTGCTGCACTCACGCGAAAAAAAAAAAAAATTTCTTTGGCTGAAAATATTACTTTCAAAGTTTTTTAACTCATGAATGATATGAAATAATGAGATTCGGATTTAATCATTTACGTATTATTATCGTCTTTAACCACCACCACCAGCCCCCCCACCCCCTCCGTCTTCAATACAATCTTAACCGTCAATAAAATAATTTAATGATATATATATATATAAATATATGTATTTTAATATAACTCAAATAATAATAATAATTTCCCTTGAGATACTTCGTTATCTAAAAATTCTTAAATATTATTATTATTATTATTTTAAAACATTGATGTTTTTTTTCTTTTTTGCATTCTCACATTTCAGTCTTTTTCAACAATAATAATAATAAAAATAAAATTAAGAATTTGAATGACTGATCACAGACTCGTGTAAAAATTTAAAAAAAAATAAAAATAAATAAATAAATTGGCAACACTAGGAGGATTGTCCAGGTACGTAATTTAAATTACTGACTCTGTCGTCGGAATCCGACCATTCCGATACTAAAAGTCTTTTACATTCCGATGAATTAGCTAATTGATCCCATTTTTCGAAAGCCCAGTGATCGTTATAGAAAAATGACAGAGTCGAAACATTTACGTCAGTCTTAGACATGCTCTCACAAAACGTTTTACTACTTACTTTGTATTTTTTAAAAAACGCATGATCACTCATTGATAAAAATGCATGAAACACTAAATATGAGCACATGAGAATGTAAAAAATTGCGAATAAACTGATGGGCAACAGGAAATACCACGTTTGAGGCATTTTATTTATAACAAAGTTCAGTCCGAAGTACATGTTGATGGCAATCACTAATAACCCGAGAAAGCACGACACTATGTTGGTAGCCCTAAAAATTAATTATTATTAATTAATAATAATAATAATAATAATAATAATAATAATAATAATAATACCGATTTACGTAAAAATGAAAAAATAATCTTTAGGAAAAAAAAAAAAATCTGCTCCACTCACAGTCCGTTTTTAAATTCTCCCATCAAAAAACTGCTACTTGAAAATGCTATGGTTGGTAAAACTGCAAATGGAAGTTGTAACGACATGACCGTGTTTAATATATCATTCATACCCGAAAGATCTTCTATTTTCGAATAGAAAGCAACCAAGAATGTTGGAATTATGGCGATGGCTCTGGTAAAAAGAACTCTTTTCCACCTGGCCCACTGAAGATTAAGGAAACCCTGAAACATTTATAAAATGGTCGTTTTTTTCACTTAATTATTATCATTTGAAAAATTCATTTTAATATGGATTTCCATTACCTCCATTGCAAATTGACCAGAATAACATCCGGTCATGGTACTTGATTGACCGGCAGCTAAAATCCCTATGGCCCATATGTACATGGCAGCAGCCCCAAACTGACACCCGAGGAAAATTCCACCTTTATAAATATCGGCTTTTACTTCTTCCTTGTCATTCTTTTAAAAATAAAAATAACGATGACAATTTACAATAAATTATGATATATCGATCGATCGATCAATCGTGTGTAATAACACTTACTGGAAAAATATTATCGAATTCGAAATTATTCGTTACGCAAATATTATAAATGTCCGCGTTGGTTTTTTCATAGAGTCCGTGTGCAAAAACGCTCACGACAAAAACGTTTATTATAAATGCTATGAATAATGCAATGGCTCCTTCAATAAAAAAATAATAATTTGCTTCTCGAATTTTCTGCGCATCTTTTCTATCGATTTGCCTGCTCTAAAAGAAAAAAAAAAATTTTTAATCATTCTCATGCTCCTGATATTATTATTAATCCTGACAAAGTGTCGAAAGGGAAAATTTTCAGTGCATAAATTTTTCTTTTCTTTTTTTTTTTTTTTACCTTTACTAAGGCCGAATGGAGGTATAAGTTGTGTGGCATGATGACAGCTCCTATGATGCCCACAGCTTGTAATAATACAGATTCATCACATCCTTCGCACCAGGGGAAAAACATACCCTTAAGAACTTCACCTTGATCCGGCTTAACTATAACATACTGAAAAAATATTATTATTATTAAATTTCAATTAAACAAAAACCCTATTTTCCGTTCATGAAAATTTTTTGTAAAAAAAATAATAAATAAATAAATATTTCACGCTCATTTCACATAAGCTAAATAATAAATACAATTTAAAAAAAAAATAACTGAAGGTCATTAAAAAAAAAATTAAAAAATTTACAAACAAATCATTTCGAAATGTCGCCGGCTTCCCTCATGATTTTTTAAAAATTATTTTACAACATGAGCTCCTATTTATAAATAAATAAAAACGATAAATTTTCGTTAATTATTATAAATAAAAAAAATAACAAAGGGCAATTTTAAATGTTAGGTACTTTCCTTGAGTTTCAAAGTAAAAAAAATTTTTTATTTTTTATTTACTAAACAATAAACTCATTCGTTCGCATTCCCTACGACGTAAAAATAATAAATTAATTTAAAAAATAAATAACTCAAACTTAAATAAATTTTGATTTTACAAATTTTACAAAAAAAAAAATCTTTTATAATTTTTCTTTTTTTCAAGGAAATTGACATCTTTATAAATTGACTCAGAATATTCTTACCTCAAGGTTGTAGGATAAAAAAAAATTTTTTCAATTGTTATTATTATTATTATTATTGGGAAACCAAGCAAGACGATGGGTATTTTTAAATACGAATGAAATCCATTAATTTACGCTATTTAAAAATAAAACAATAAATAATCTCATGCTTTCGCTTTAAATAAAATATCATCGATCGTTAATTTTAATTACAAAATAATAATAATAATGACTTTGTTTAATAAATCATAAAGTTCAGAGTGTGTGTGTGTGTGCATCTACAAATACAATCAAATTAATATAAATATTATTCGAATGTAAATTTTTTATATTTGATCGTTAATAAAATTAAAAAAGGGTATTAATTTATATGCCGTAAAACAATAAAGATAAAAAAAATTTGTTTTACAAAAAATTTTATGTTTATCTCGGTTGTTCATTTTTATGTTAAATTATCCGTACCAGAAAAGAGTAAAAAAAAAAAATGAAGAAGATTGAAAAATTTTTTTTCTTTTCTCAAAGGTTTTTTTGTTACTTTTTAAAAGTATTAAATTAGTAAGTTGTGTAATCTCACCATAATTTAAATCATTTTACCTCATATCCAAAACTCAATGCCATGACAGTGATTAAAAATCCAAAAAGCAATTCTAATTTTCTTAAACCGTATTTGTCTAGTAATAAGAACGTGAAAGTGTCAACAACCGTTATTAAAACTCCACCGTACAGAGGAATCCTGTAAAAAAAAAAAATAATAATAATAATAATTATTTTTCAAATTTTTTAATAAATTAAATAAATTAAATTATCAAGGTTAAATATTTTTTTCTCTTTTTATTAAAAATTAAGTTTTTGTCATTGTATTATGACAATGACGTCCTTGACTTGTTAGAAAAAAATATATATGTACACTGCATTTTTAACATAATTTAAACCATGCGAATTCAGGTTTGCTTTCCTATATGTATATATACAAGGTACAGGCTTAAAACCTTTAAAATTAATGCATAATTTCATGTCACGGATTTCTAGTGAAACAAAAAAATTATCATCCTTGTTGACAATAGCATTATACTACAGTTCAGTAATAAATTCTAAGAATGAGAAAAAAAAAAAAAAAAAAAAAACAATTATTTTATAGCTTATTGAAATTAAATGCCGCGCGTCATGTAAACTTTATATTAGTTAATAATAAAAGAAAAATAATAATAATAATAATAATAATAATGACATCATTGAAATGAATACATTTTCAGAAATTTTTTTCTCTTTTTTCTTTATATTCATTAGGAGTTGGTACAGAAATAATAATAAATTTCAGAATTATTAATTAAATTAAATTAAATTTTTTTTTTTTTTACTAAAACGTACGCCTTATTAGAAAGAAGGTACAAAGCTATCGCCGTACCGATTACTTCTTGCATATCCGAACCTATGATGGCGATTTCAATCATGAGCCACAGCAATATCCTCGGTACCTTAAACATAAATAAGAAAAATTTTTAAAGAATTTTTTTTTTTTGCTTCGAATAAAGTAAATATTTTGCCATATTTTCAAATGACGTTTGTTCGTTTGTCGAACGAGAGAGAGAGAGAGACCTTACTTTTTTATATTGACGATAACATAATTCTGCTAAATGAAAACCGGTGACCACACCTAAACGAGCTGAAAGTCTTTGAACTACCAAACCTAAAACGCTCGCGGCTAATAAAAGCCATAACAACTGGAAAAACAAAAAAAAAAAAACAAAAAAATTTTGCATTAGTAAAATAATAATAATAATAATAATTAACGGGGAAAAAAAAAAATTAAATTAAATTTTAAAAATCTTTAATCTTAATCTTAATCTTAATCTTAATCTTAATCCTAATCGGAAAAAAAATAAAAAACACCCAATCGAAATGTAAATATTTTCTCATATTAGTTAGCAAACATTAAATGTCGAAAGGAAAAACCTGGAATTGTAATCAATCAATCAATCAATCATTATTTCGAATTTCTTATGATTAATAAAATATTTCAATCGTGTGAGAATTTACTAGAAATTTTTAATGAAATATCGCGAAGACTAAAGTTAAACAACAAAAAAAAAAAAAAAAAAAAAAAAAAAAAACAAATAGAATCCCTGGGAGTACGTAACGACTGTTAAAGATAAAATTTTAGACGAAAATATAGTAAAAAAAAAAAAAAAATAGATAAAATATCAGTAACATAATTACGATAGGGAAAATTTAAAAAAAAAAAAAAAAAAAAATAATGTGGTAAAGGAAAAAAAAAAAATATTTTTTTTAAAATTTTACGTGTAATGCACACGCACACACGCACGCACACACACACACACATTGTGAATGTGGGTACTTTAATCGAAAATTATAGAAAATTACACGAGAGAACATCAAGGTTACCTATTAAATAAAGGTCGAGAAATTTTAGAGAAAAAAAACCATCTTAAAAGTGAAATTTGTACCAAATTGTTATATTGACCTTTTCTCATCAATTTTCCTAATGAAATAATAATAATAATAATAATAATAATTTTAGGATTATTTGTTTTGTTGTTTTCTTAAATTTCACTACCTATATATAAATTCATGTGTTAACAATGATTTTCATTTCAAATTATAAAATTTTTTAATAATAATAATAATATTTAAAATCAGGTTTTGGTTGAAAGAAAGAAAAGACATAATAATAATAATAATAATAATAATAATAATTTAACAAAAATTATGGTTAATTTGAATTTTTTTTTTTTTTTAAATAAGATTTTATTAGTTTTGTTAATATTTTTGAAATTCGAATGTATTTAACGGTTTTTTTTTTGTTTAAACAATAGCCTAGTCAAAGTCAAAGTCGTAAATAAAAAAAAAAAAAAATATGAATATTTACCTTATATTGAGCGACAAAACCAGATTGTAAATCAGATTCTATATTTCCGGGATCTAAATATGCAATTGACATAAGAAATCCCGGGCCTGTAAACGCCCAAAGCTTGCGAAAATTGAATCCCACCTAAATTAAAAAAAAAAAAAAAAAAAAAAATTTTTATTTATTTATTTAAGTATTTTCTTGTTTGTTTATTTATTTATTTATTTATTTTTCCTTTTTTTTCGTAAATGTTCTACTTTGAATTGTTCTTTGTACTTTAATATTAGTGTGTATTTTTTTTATCTTATATATACGCACATGTTCTCCATTGGGAATGATTACTTTTTTCGTTTCTCGATCATTTGGATACGTATTTATAGGAGGTGATACTGATTGTTCGCTACATTCAGATTCTACAATTGTCAAAGTTGATCTACTATTATCTTTTTCATTAGAACCATCTCCCATTGCCATCATGTACCTGAAAATTGTTAAAAATTAATTTTTATATAATTAATGATGGATTTGATATACGATGAGGGAATGTCATGATGTTGTTCCCTAAATTTT